ATTATGATTGGTACACATGGTGTTGGGGGGATCATGGGGAAGAGAGTGTAGCACAGAGAAGGCAAATAGTGACTGTGACATCTTACTACACTGATGGACAGTGACTGCAATGCAGTATGGGGGGACAGAATTGATATTATGGGTGAATGTAGTAACCACATTGTTTTTCATGTGAAACCTTCATAAGAGTGTAAATCAATAATACCTTAATTAAAAATAAAGATCCCATTTTAAAAATCAGGGAGTTAGGAGGTAAGATTCCTGACATATTCTTTGGTAATCAGCCAACAACCTATCTTATGGCAGGGCAAGCAGTCCTGTATGATATGTTCCCAGTGCTTGTAGAAATCACTGTCTTGGAAAACAGGATCAATAAGTTCCTTGTGTTAAGTTTATCTTTGAGAATTATCTAGAGGGCTGACTGTGGATGGTGACATAATGTCTCTCACTGGAGAGAGACATAATGAGATCACATGTCAAGCCAACACAATCCCCCACCCTCCTGCTCTTTGCGCCATTCTTGAAAACCTTAAAAGACAGAATCCTAAGCCCTTATGTTCACCTCCTCTCTGAGGTTGCCTGCACTCCCCCTTTCTTTGAGTGTATACATTTTGCTTTAAATAAAGACTTCTCATGGTTAAAAAAAAAACACAACTAGGGCACCATGTGCTTATATGCCATACAGTGACTAAGAATATGGACTTAAAAAAGGTTATCCAAGGAGACCCAATAAGAGTAAGTAAGTATATGAGAGTAACAGAAGGCTAAGGACAGAATGAACTGAATGAGTTTTTAAAGTAAGACCTCAAATTAAATGAAATTTTGAATTATTAACAATAGCCTTTTGACATAAAAAAACTAGGATCCAAATCTCTTTTCTTAAAATGATAGCTCTTCAAATTTTCACTTAATGAATAAGCCTACTTTTTCCAAAGACAAAGTTATAAATAGAAATATTTATTCACATAAGCCATTCCCCTCTGTACTTGATATTGATATTCAACCATCTTCCCCTCCTAAATCTCAGTGAAAGTATGATTTGGGGCAACTTCATTATGATTCCAAGATTATCTCTCTCTACCATCTGGCTTAGCCATCACTTGACTTTAAGTAGAGTCATAAGTAAATGTGTCGTAGTACTAGATTTCACGTGAACCTGTCAGAAGGTGGGTTGAGTTACAGCACCTGACAGCAAGGAAATGAAAGGAACCGGCAATTCTTTCAGTTCTGCCTACTCATAAACTCTAGATAGAGCAACAATATACTAGATATAATAATATTTATGATAAAAATTGTCTCAATTTCCAAGTAATGAAACTGCAAAAAGAGCCCTTTACTTCCCCAGAATATTAAAAAGTAGAATTAGCTTGCATTTTTGTTGGAGCTACTGTAAGGAAAATAAAATGGTAATTGTATCTGATAATGAAATTATATTTAGTAACTGTTAGTCTCAGGGCACCTAGCAGAAACTAGACTTTCAATATGTACCAAAAAACACACACTGACTACAAATAATAGTAATACAAATAAAAACAAATAAATTCAAAATAGTTTGTTACTCCCTAAAAAGGCACAAGGACCTGAGATTTCTATGTAAATGCCTGAAGAGAAGACCACTTACATAGTTATTTATATAGTTAGGTATTCATAAAATGAAACTTTGTAGTTTCAAATAATTACATTAACATGACATAAATACTTTTGGTAAAATGTTTTATAAAATTTGGGGAAAAATTTTGTACCTACACTCATATATGCAGTGCTTATCTGTTTTTATCCAAAGTAAGTAATCTGTTTTAGTTCAAATGATAAGTTAGATATTCCCTATAGTTGTAAAGAGAATGATTATACTCAGCTGATATAATCTTTGTTTTCTAAATAGATTAAACATGAACAGATTACCTACAGGAGACAAATCTGATTTAAAAGCAAACATAAAAAACTAAAGAGACTTAGCAATGTACAATGAAGCACACATCCATTCATCAAATTACTGGGTATCTACTAGGAGGAAAGCACCATGCTGGGTGCAGCAGGAAAAACAAGCAGCAAAACATTCAGTTCCCTTCACTGTTTACAAATTTAAGACTACTGTACAATAAGATTAAAAAAGCAACATGAGCAATTATAAGGCAACATGTTCAATATCAAATTAGTAAACTGAACAGTGAGTAAGATCTGAGTAGAATTTACATCCAGTTTTTCTGTAGGCACTTCCAGCCCATGAACTTGGTGTAGTTTTTACTGCAGGAAAACAATCAGGTTTTTGATACTATTATAATTTTCTTAAAAAGGAGGAGCAGCACTGAGTTGGCAGCATCTCATACTTCAGCTCCTCCAGCTGGAGAAGGGGGAAGAGGAATAACTGAATAGGAAATTTGACTAAATGGCCACTAAGGTCATTTCCTTACGTTGACAGTTCTTCCTTGATTTAAGAACATATAAAACCTGAAATACAGTGTAGTACAACATGTGAAAACTGAAATATATAAAGCATTGATGTGCTAAGACAATGATTTCAAACTCTAAGGCAAAGGTTTTCAAACTCTGGTGAGCATCTAAATATAACTAGTAACATCTAAAAGCATCTAAATGACTGGATAACTTATTAAACCATATAGATGCCCATGTACTATCTCAAGCCTCTGGAATGAGAATCTATAAATGTGCAGTCAGGACATTTGTTATTTTGAGCAGCTCCCCAGTGATTCTGATCACAGTGTGAGAATTAAATGTCACAGTTAAGTGTTAAAGCATACAATTTTCAGAGGCAAGGAAACCTAGGTTAAAATGCCAGTTCTAGTACTTACTAGCACTGTGACTACCAACTAGCCTAACACTATTTCTAATTTTTAAAAAGGGGGAAAGGCCATACCTCAAGTGATTGTTGTGAGGAGAAAGGATGATAATGCACATAAAATGCTTAGTACAATTCCTGGCGCATTTAGTAAGCATTCAATGAATCCATTTAACAAATATTTATTAAGCACTTATACAGTATTAATAAATAAGGCAACTCTGCAATGGTGTCATGAGAACATGTAATTAGGATTATCTATCCTATTCAGTAAAGTCTTCCCTGAAGTGAGCTGAATGATGAGTAGGCATTGACTAGAAGAAAAGTAAAGGAAGCACATTTCCAGGTAGAGGAAGCATTGTAAACAAAAGCCACAAACCTGAAGCAAAACAGAACAAAGTGACTAGGAGAGAAAGGAATGTCAGAAAATACTGTGGAGAGAAGGTTGGAAATGTAACAGTGGGGGAGGAGGAAGGGGGCAAACAGGCTGCTAAGATTTTAGTTTCTCTTAAAAACAGTGAAAGTCACCAAAGGGTTTTAAACATGGAGACAATGTGATTATATCTGCAGTTTGAAAAAGTCACCTCTGTACAGTGTAGAAAACTACAGAGGGGCCACAGAAAATGCAAGTAGACCATAATTAGGAGACTGGTGATACTTCAGATAAGAGATGATGGTGGCTAGAACTACAGTACTAGTGGTAAAGATGAAAAGTAGACAGACTTAAGATATTCAAGAGGCAAAATCAACAGGACTTCATGAGAAATTGATGAGGCATGAGAGAGAGGAAGTTGTCAAACTTGTACTACAGAAAGGGATGGATGATAAGCTAGTCATGAGTTAAATAAGAGGACCTATTTTTCTAAAGGGGTTATATTATGAATTCCAAACATATGAGTATGAGTAGTTATTCCCAGTAATAAGGTTGATTTGTACAAAAATATTCCACTGTATAAAGTATAATATGCTCATATTTATTTTATTTGGTGTTTATGTATCCCAAAGACAAAAGAATAGGTTTCTGTATGTGTGTAAAGTAGATCTGAACAGAATGAAGGTCCTTACCTAGCTTCAGGTACCTTTCCTTTACACAATACCCCAGAAGTGTATTTGACTACAGTTTAACACTGTCTCAAGAATTCTATTATACACTCAACTGATAAATCATTTTCAGCTTTAATTATTTATACTAACGAATAAGACAAAAAACCAAACAAAAAAGGCTGCAAAGTCCAAAAGGGAGCTTTAAGCACCTGCCTTTCAAACCATTACCAGAACATGATCGGGTTTAACAGCGACAGGCTGGTTTAGGGTATTTTCGTTTACTCTATTAATTTTCCAGAATGGAGAGTCATGCGAATGCGACTTAGATAACTTATTATTCATAAAACCCCACTGTAAACTGAAGTCATCATACAGATAATTCCTGAACTTGATCTACAAAAAGCTAGTCTGCAACTTAGAATTTTAAGTCACTACTGCAATAGAGCTGTTAAGATGCTTGAGTCTGGAGTCTCACAAAGACTGTTACAGGGGTTGGCTTGACAATATTGATCTCCTTAATTACTGATAACAGGCATTTATTCAGTCAGATCCCAAGACGTTTTTGCAAGCTTTATCGGTCTAAACCTCCATCCTTTCTCTCCCGCTTAGAAAAACAAGGGTGCAGGAGCCACCAAGGTTTTTAGTCTTTACGAAACCCTGCCCCACCCACCTCACAAACAATAACCTTCCGTTCCAGAACTGTAGCTACGGTCAGAAAAGAACGCCGGGCGGTAGGGCCCTGGTCGGTAACCCAGGTTCTCAGTGGCGGACCTAAGAACTGAAGGGACCTGTCTTACCCAGTCTCAAGAGTAGCGTCCAATTTCCCAAAAGCGCCAAGATCACTACGGAAACCCGAGCTCCTGAGCCCGAGCGGGGGCCTCCCTCTCTGACACAGAACTCGTCCCCGGGGCTCTCGTCGCTTCAGGGCCTCTTCAGGGGCCTGAGGCCTTCGGACCAGGTCCCCGGAGCTAGAAGCCCCCCCAGCCCGGCTAAGGGCGAGCACCCAGCGCCCCGGCCCGCAGCCGGCAAGCCCGTCACCAGGCAACAGTCGCCAGGCCCGGAAACCTGGGAGGCCTACCCCGGGCGCGAGTCCTTCCCCATTCCCTCCGTGCTGGCCTCGGAAGTCCCAGCAGAGCACAGGGGGTGGGCGGCCGCTCACTTCTTACCCTTTCCTCCCGGGAGGGCGGTTCTGGGACTCGTTTCTCCCACTCCCCCAAAAACTTGCTGGTTGCTCCTGGTCAGCGTCGGCTCCAGGTCACTGCGGCCAGCTTACTCCATAGCCTCCTGTATTCGTGCGGCCTCAAAGGCTGAAGCCGGAGGAGGGAAGGGGGAGAGAAGGGGAGGGCCTGGGGAGGAAGAGTAAGGGAGGGGGAAGAAGACAGAAACACCGGCCAGCCGCGACATGACGTCACTTCCGGTCGGCTTGGACGGGGCGGGGCCTGAACTTCCTGGGATCTGTCCCCTGAGAATTGCGGTGTGGGGTCACGTGCCCGGGGAGGAGCTGGCGCGCGAGTTATAACGGTTCTTTTGACTCCGCGGTTCCGAAACCTTGGCAGCCAGAGTGAGCTTCCGGGCTCACGGCGGACCCGGCAGAGTTTCGCAAACTCTAGAGGTGGCTTCTGCCGGAAAAGGAAGACAGGTAGCCCTACAGATCCTACCCAAATATCCAAATATATACTGAAGGGGAGGGCAGCTTAGAGGAGCAGGTGGTTTGAACTTCGCCCCTCCGGCTCCTTGGCCCCGCCCCTTCCACGGCCCCGCCCCTCTCCCGGCTCACCTGCCCTCTCTGGTGCCGGACTGCAAACAGCAGCTTTGTCTTTCGCGAGGTACTCTCCTTGGGGAGTCCAGCAAAGCAATGCTTACCAAACTGTAATATGCACACAACTTATCTGGGGACTTTGTTAAAATGCAGTTCGAATTCAAGAGTAATATCTGATACTCCGCGCCTCTAATCAGTGACGCTAATGCTGTTGGTTACAGGCTACACTTAGAACAAGAGGTTAAAGTGCTAGATGGCAAGCTGCTTGAGCTGGAGAATTATTTCTTTAACCTAGCCTACTTGCTCATTGAAGGCTAAAGACAGGCAGTGGTCCACAGAAAACACCCTCGTCTCCATTACTGTTAGCCATCTCCGCTCCACCGCTCCTCTCCGCCTTCACTCCCCACGGGTCAATGCTCCCCACCACACCTCTTCTGACGACACTGCAACTCCTGTCTTTACACTGTCCACAGTTTCTCGGGCTGACTAACATTTCAAGGATAGACAGAATAACAGCTTCTATCACAGAAAGCATTTGAAGGTGATGGGCTTTTATTTCTGCCGTTTATCATGAACAGCAGACTATAGCGTAAAGTTGGACGTTGTGTTTCCAGTTACCTGTAGTCGAAGGAAGAGAGAGCTTAAGTTTTTAGAGCCTTAAAAAAAAAACCTAGAAACATCATTCTAAATGTTTCAACTTATTCTCTTACCATTCTGAAAATTTTTAATTAAGAACTTACTGGGGTAGAGAGAAATGGGGAGTTCTGATAATTGTATGGGTTTCTTCTTGAAGTGATGAAGTGATCTGAAATTAGATAATGATGGCTGCGCGACTTTGTGAATGTACATTTTATAAGGATGAAGCTTGTGGTATGTGAGTTACATATTAATTTTAAAGTGTACATCTCCAATTAATTTTTTAAATGTATATATGTACATTATAAAGATTCAGAAAAACAATAAAAAATGAACATTGTTCATTACAGTCCCACTTCCTAAAGTTTAATGGTTTGAAATTTATTCTCCCAGAACTTTCTCTTTATGTATATTTGTGTATAGGTTGGGAATTCATTTTTAAATAATTAGGATACTATAAAAATTGTTCTGCTCAACTAGTTTTTTTATTTTATTTTTCCTAATGAGATCCTTCCAGGCTATAAACCTCATTCTTCCTAATGATTGCTTAATACTCCATAGGAAGGCTATGCCATAGTATAATTAACTATTCCCCAGGTGATGGTTATTGTTTTCAGATTTTCATTATTCCTCAGAAACTTTTCAACATAAAGAGCTGGTAGATAAATTGATTGTTTTATTGAGCTCCTTGCCTTAGATCTTTCATGAAGAGCTTGCCATTGGTCAAAAGGCAAAAAAGAAGAAAGAAAAAGCAGAACCTGGTGAAACCACAGATCTATAATAGTGAAGACTCCACTGTGTTTGTGTTTTCCTTCTAAAAGTGTCCTGAAATAGTATTCTTCAAGATTAAGTATAGCCAGTTGTTAATCATATTAGGTTAAGTGTATATAAATTCACATATTAACATTACTTCATATCAGTAAAGCAAGTTTTATTGGCAAACATGGTACAATCTTAGTAAATTTATGTAAGATGAGGAAAAACTTAAACCTTGGCAGTGGATATATCATAAAACATAAGATTGTCAAAAGTGAAAACTCAAATATTATGTATCATTTAGATTAGAAAATTTTAAATTTTTTTTCAGGTTGCTCTGGTCCTTTTCAAGCTACTAGGTTATGGGATGGTATTATTCACTCCCTTCAGACTGAAGTGGAAATAAAAAGACGGAGGCATCATTTAAGAACATACAAAGACTGTTTTACTGGTTCTGATGCTGTTGATGTAGTTTTAAGTCATCTTATGCAAAATACATGCCTAAGTAGTAATGACATCTCATCTTAAAGGAGTTCTTCTTTGCCAAGTTCTAATGAACTATAAAGTGTTTGAACCCGTGGGAATGAAGCTATTAAAAAATCAAAAGGAATTAGAATTTGAAGATTCAAACAATAGTCTCTACAGATTTCTAGGCAATAAATCATCATATATTTTGCAGAAGAAAAAAGGATTCTCAGAATGGATTAACTGATGAAAAGAAAGCAAAGGAATTTTTAAGCTTAGTGTTAACCACAATATTGTAATATACTGTGTTTAGACTCTGATACAACAGTCTTTATTGAGCTAAACTTAAATGTTATGCTTTCATGTTTCTTCAGAAGTCAGTAAAAGAAATAGCCATGTAAAAATGAGTCCATTTCTGCCTTTGCTCTAAAGCTGTTATGGAAAACATCACATAAATTTTTCATGATTTATACTAGGAAAAGCTTCATTTCCTCTGATGAATCGTGTGCTTCCTAACTTTGAAAAATGACAAAGTTAGAAAAGCAAAGGTTATCTGGAACTTGAGGAAAAAATTTTCTACTCCATCATAGCAACTATGTTAACCTTAGAATCAGCATGTATTCTTTCTTTTTATTTACAATCCCAATTTGTCCTCTTTTGGTAATAGTCTATTATCTATTAAACTTATTACTGTGTCTTTTATTGTAAACTGCCAGAGATCCTTTATGGGAATAGGGAATGTCCAAGTTTTAATTTAATAAGTAAATTTAGATGTATATTTGAAGTTTTGGTCCTGTGCATAATGGAAAAATTCACATACTATCTCATAACAGACCAGAAGACAAAATTATTTCAAATCTCTAGCACATGAGATTGGTGAGGAAAGAATTGAGAAATGTATTCATATAATGAATGAGAATCTGGCTTTACCTCCAAATATCACAGTTGACAAAACTGTTCTCCTGCTTTCAAAAGAAGGTAATTTCAGTTTTCATTAATTTTTTCAGAACATTGTAAGAAAGAACTGACTTTTTTTATAGAATTTATTTTTTAGAACAGTTTTAGGTTTACAGAAAGTGGAGCAGAAAGTAACAGAGTTCCCTTTCTCCCTTACCTCCACACATTTACATCTTCCCCCATGGGCCTCCTGAACAGGTGTGGTACACTTGTTACAATCCATGAACCTGTATTGATAAATCATTATCACCCAAAGCCTATAGTTTACATTAGGGTTCACTCTTGGTGGTATATATTAGATGTGTCTTGACAAACGTGTCATGATATATACTCACCATTATAGTATCATAGGGAAGAGTTTCACTGCCTTAAAATCATCTGTGTTTCACCTATTCACCCTTCCCTTTCTCCCTAACCCCTGGAAACCACGGATCTTTTTTTTGTACTGTCTCCAAGAACTGACTTTTCAGATTTGATAATAAAAGTATGTTTGGTGTATTGGCTCTCTATTCCTCTTCCTCAGAGTTTCCTTCTATAGATTGATTACATTAGACAAAAACTGGTGAGGCAACATAGATCAAAAAACATTTACTTTATTTTTTACAATGACATTGATAAGATTAAGTGGAGGTGCTATAGTCCATACTACCAGAAAAAAAAATATGCAGACTTATTACCAGTCCTTATTATTTATAGTCCAAGATCATGTTCCTGTGAACACATCTCCCTGGCCTTTGCCTGTCTGAACAGATTAGCTAGGCTACCTGTTACTCCCTTTTATTATTTAGTTTATCCACTTGTAGTTTTCTCTTTATAATTCCACTAATGGTAGAAAGAAGGGCCCCATACCCAGGGCAGGGAGGAAGGTATATGTAATTAATTAATGGTTGTACCCTTTACCACATTTGGAAACCATTAGAGAAGCAAAACAGCATGATTTTCACACTGGAGAAACAAAAGTTGTCAACAATAATTAGGGCAAGTATCATAAAGGAAATACAGGGTGCCAAGAGAAAGGGTGTAGAGTCAGAATGGGGACTAGAGGAGAACTCTGAGGAGGACTAGTATTCAGAGGACAGGCAGAAGAAGAGAGGCCAACAGAAGTACAGTTTGTATCTGTTACAAATGGAAAAATAACTTTTCCCATCATCTTCCTGTTAATGATGTTGGATACCTCTGGAAATTTCTAACTAAAGCTGGATGTAATTTGTCAGTAAAGATGCCAGTACAAATGATTTCCAGTTTCCAGCCTTTCTCTGCTAAACATATATATTTATCATAAATGATCTAACAGTAGATACATCTTTATTTCACACTATAATGTGAGGTACTTAGGGACAGTCCTTATCTTGTTCACCATTGTGTTCTCATTGAATGGCACAGTACCTAGCTGTTGGTAGGTATGTAAACATTTTGTGGATGACTGGCTTAACTACAGCCTTCTCATTTTGTAAATATTTTCTTTGTATGCATCCTATACATATACATATATGTGTGTGTTTGGATGTATATGCTATCTTAAACATTGGATGGATTGTACGCTCTTCAAAAACAAAGTCTGTCTCCCTTGTATCTCCATCATTCAGCACAGTGATAGCACTGAGCATGAAGCACTCCATAAAGATGACTGTGGTCGTGGTATGTGTTCCCACAATATCCTTCTCAAGTTTAATTTCCCTCTGCAGTTATTCTGTTTATCATCTCTGCATTTGGTTAGTCTGTTCTAAATAGGCACATTTCTCTGCTCCCTCTCCTTCAGGTCTGTATTCAAATATCCTCTTCCCAAGGGTAATTCCTACCATCTTACTTAAAATTGCAACACTATCCTATCCTGCACCCCCGCCCACCAGCACTACCTCTCTCCTTTCCACTTTATCTCCGCAGAACTTAACAGTAACTGACACACTATGGATTTCATTTTGTTAGTTGGTTTGTTTATTGCCTGTCTCCCTTCCCCCTGCTACAATATAAGCTCCATTAAGGCACTCATTTTGCCTGTTTTGGTTACCACTATATCCCTGATACCTAGAAAAATGCCTAGCTTGAGTACTTAGACAAATAGGTCTAAACAAATAATTGTTGAATAAATGGATGTTCTGTCTTGATGCTCTTGCAGAATACTCCTTTTCCCATTTTTGGACTTATTAATATCAACTTATACTTCTTAATGACTTGGTAAAATTTGCCTTCACCCATTTCATATGTGGTTTTCCTTGCCTCCTTACTTAGTTGGTTACAAATGGAAGGCCAGCTGTTTTTTATGTATCTTTTTCTAGCACCTGGTTCAGTGCTATGTCCAAAGGTTGGTGTTGACAAATGTGGTCTGACTGATTAGGGGCTATTTATGGTCTCAAAGTTTTTACTTTACTTTTACTGAAAGATTGTTAATTCGATTTATTTTTAGCCAATAACTCAGAGGTAGCAAATTCAGA